CTATTTATTAGAAAATATTTATATTGTTTATTATACTATTAACGTTAAGTATTATTTACTTTATCATATGAATTTTTAAGCTACAAAAAAAATTTGATTATATAATATAATTTATATAGTGGTAATATAAATTATAATATAATAATTATTTGTGTAATACTATAATTATTCCGCAATATAATAATCATTCCGTAATATAATTGCGATACAATAAATAATTAATCTATTGCGGAATAGTTAACATATTACAAAATAATTATCATATTGCGGAATAATTATAATATTACAGAATAATTATTATATTACGGAATAATTATAATATTGTAAATTTATATTATAACTATATTTATAAATTCCGCAATATTGTGAATTTTAAAAAATAATAACGGATCCATCTTTAATTGGAATATTAAAAACACTTCCTGATTATTATAATATTTGAAAGTGTTTCAAATTTTCATTCCAACTGTTGTAAAAATAACTTAAACATAACACTTTTTACAGATCCCAAGTCCAGTATTAAATAAATAGATTTTTCATCTACAGATATATAACAATAAATGGTTTCTATAGCTTCAGAAGTTATCAAGGGGTTTAAATAATAACTAGTGTATTCACTCTCAGAAGATATTATTAGAAATTTAAATGTATTTATTTATAAAGGTATTACAGGTGATTTACTACTTGATGATATTATTTAAAGTGATGGTGTATAATAGTCTGTAATAGGATTATAGGTGTAAATTAAAAAGTGTTACTTGTTATCCTATGTTATTATTTTTGATAAGACAAAATCTTTCTTAATGTTCAACTTGATTATAATAAGAACATAATCCTCTAGGAAATATTGTATAATTTTTATGTGATATATCCTTATTATTTACAAATATAATATTTAGCATTGTTTCGTGTGTTACTTAAATTTATATGTAATTGATTGCAGTCTCTTATAAGATATATAATACGTTTACAATTATAATAACTTTTAGGAAGAACATTCCTATTATTATTTGCATTATTACTTTGCCAATTATTTGTTGAATTATTATTTTGCCAGTTATTATTGATAGTAGGTTAATTGTTATTATCATTATTATAACTGCTATTATTATTCCTTAATGTTGTATTAACTACTATCAATAATTGTTTAAACATTTTTACTATTTTTCTCGATTATTTGTTGTATATCAATTGGATTTTTCTTTGATAGTTTCAGTATTAAGGTTTAAATATGTCTTGCTCAGAAAATATCCAAATAGAATGGTATCTTTTAATAAAACTGCTTTAATTAAACAAGTATGATTAATAATTTCTTCAACATTGCAGAATGCTGTAACGATAATAGTAGTTTAAAATTCTGATTGTAATCCTTGAAGGAATTGCTTAATTTTTTATCCTCTAAGGTATTATAATAAAAGTTTAATTTTAAATATAACAACTCTATTTTAGTAGCATATTCTTTCACAGATTATTCTGATCTTTGTTTATAATGTCAAAAATGTTCTATTTGGATTTGAGTCTGATTTGACTCAGATTTAGATGTGTAAGATTTATTTAAATCCTTTTGGCTAGATATTGACCCTTTATTTTTTGATTCAGAAGAAGTTGGATCTAATTGTCTTTTCCCAGAAGGAGATGAATTAAACTGTGCTGTTTCAGAAGGAGATAGATTTGACCATTCTGATCCAGAAGGAAGTTAGTTAGATTGGTTTTTGAAACTTCAAAAATTCCTATAAAACTAAAAGTAGATTCTCTAAAATTCACATTTATTTTTCTATTTCTACTAGGAGTGACTTATGTTATAAGAATATCATCAGATTGATATTTCTTATTTTCATAGGTAAAATGTTCATCTATATGTTCTTCCAAAAGTTCAGGAGGCATTTTTGGCTTAAAAATTAAAAATAAAAAAACAGTTTCAATTGCTGATCCGTTTGATTTTTCATGATTGTTTCACTAGATAATAAAAAAGGTATACTTAGTATAAGAGTTTCAAAATATTCAAATATACGACTTTTAGGATCCTTACTAAATATTACAGTTTGATGATATGTTTGTATTATTAATTTAATAGCTTGGTTAAATTTGTAAGAAAGGAATTTATTGTAGACGAAAAAGTATAATACTCGATAATAATAAAGTGTTTGTAATTCTGGAGTCGATGAATTATTTGCTAGATCAAACTCAATTATAGTTTTGCTGATATATTATCTAGTCTCAAGTATAAGATATGTTTACTTAAGAAAAACATGAAATGTAAAAGTTTATTCTAATAGAATGGATAGAGGATAACAAATTATATATAATGTATCTTCAATAAATGTAATTCTTAGTTGTTTATTTCATTCTCTTGTCAAATATTGTGAATGATATATTTGTTGAATTCTAAATAAATCTTTAAATATATTTATATAGTACTCTTATATGGTATTATATAAATTAGAAAAAGAGGATTCTGTTATTATCGCTAAATGTTAATATATGATTTTAGTAAATTAGACTAGATATTTGAGTAGCGACTTTTTTAGTTTACATAATCACTTACTAAGTTTTACAAGGACTTGTATATTTCTCTTAAAGATTCACGAAGACTATTAAATAATCATTAAGATTTACAAAGATGTATATCATTAAAATCGTAATTCACAAAGGCTTGTAATTTATTACTAAGATTTATAAAGATATATATCACTAAGGTTATAATTTAGTAAAGCTGGTAAGTGATCACTAAGATTTATATTTTATCACAAAAATTCATAAAGGCTATATATATTATAAAGACTTATAAAGACTATATATGTCATAAAGACTCATGAAAATTTAAAAGCAAATATAGTATTGTAGGATTATTTTAATAAAAAAATGTTATAAAGTAAATGATCAACATGTTTTATTAAATTGATTTACTAGAGAAATTATGATTTACAAATTAACTTGCATATGTAACATTGTAAATACAGTCGAATCTTGATATAGTGAACCCTTGATATAGCGAATTTTTAAATCAAATATATTAAAATTACCTTTACTATAGTGAACTAGCCAATTAAATTCTTTAAAAAATTCATTATAAGCTTATAACGAAGTTGATATCCAGATCCTAGAATTCGTTATATCAAGAGTTCACTGTATTAGAAATGTTAGAAATGTTATAAATGTCAAGAATATCAAGAATGTTAACCATTTTTATAGATTTGATATATTTAATTTATTTTATATAGTTAAATTATTATTATATATAAATTGTTTTATATAAATAGAATGGTTTATAAATATTGAAAGGCAGGAAGTTATATTTCCTCTAACCTAGTGCTAATATTCTCATTGTTTTTCTATTTACTTTTATTTTCTTTTCTTAATAAATATATTTATCTTTAATTAAGTGTTCTTTTAATTAAAATAGATTTATTATTACAATTATTCTAATGAATTTAGTAAGCTACTTATAAAAGAAACAATACTTGAATACCTTGTTTAACTATAGTGATCCACCAAAATCACACATTAATAATAGAAAAAGTTTATTAATAATAATATGAAAAAGAAGAATAAAGAAAATAAAAAATAAAAGACGTAAAAAAAATAAATAAAATAAGGAAAGGTAAATTCATAAACATTGAATCATATAGCTATTTAAGAAGTTTTAGAGAATTGTTAATTTTACACAGCTTACTTTTTCTATAAGTTCTAAGCTACTATATTTATATACTTTGAAATACATATAATGACAAATTAACTATATTAAATAAATAAACTAGATCTAATATATTATATATGTTAAATAAATTAAATATGTTGAATATATCAAATATATCAAATATGTTAAATATATTAAACATGTTAACTATATTAACTATATCAATAATGTTAATATTTTTAGCATCACACATATGGATCAATTTGTAGATCATCCAATTAATTTGTAGATCATCCAATAGATTAATTCTGTAGATCAATTATCTTTGTAGATCCGTTTACACTATATTAATAAGAAAAAAAACTAAATGTATTAATTTTATCAAATATTAAAGAAAATATTAAAAATCTTATAACTGACTAATAAAGCAAATATAATGGATTCAACTATTTTAATTAATAATCAAAAAATTAAAAATATTCAAAATCTACAAAGAATTAAGATTAAAGACAAACTTCAACAAATAAAAAAGAGTAGTATAGAAATAGGAAAAAAAGATGGTATTCTAAAAAGAGGATTTTTTAACCTATAATACTTATAAAGATCAATATGTATTCAGCCTGATCATAATGCAGCTTATCATAAAAATGATAAACTTAAAAAAATTAAAGAAAGTGAACTTATTTAATAGTAGTTTCAAATATATTGTTATCTTATGTATACAGTAAAATTTTAATAAAGTGATATATTATTGCATCAGAAAATATAATTTTTTATTAATGTTATGTATGAGAGGTTTAAAAATTAAAAAAATTCTCAGAACCCATTTTCCCTGAAGTGATGTTTAAAAAAATTGCGGGGGATATAAATTTTCCTTAATACTATTTTTTAATCATCAAAATGTTGCTTAACGATCCAAGTTATTCGTTACACAAACCACCCGTCAAAATCCGGATCATAGTGCGGAGTATTCTCCCGCAAATGTATAAATATCGCGTGGAAATTATATCAGGTGTTTCAAGTTATCGAACTAGTTTGATTTTATTTATTTATTTTTGCACAGTATAAAATTACTTGTTATATCAAGATTGTTTCAGGAGTGCATAATAATAAAAAAAAATACTGGTTTTTTTACTCTAATAAAGAAATTCTCTCAACTTCTAAATAAACATTTATGGATATAGTTACGTATTAATTGCATTATCCAATCATGTTTCAAATTTCGCTTTGTTCCTCCATTTTTTCGAATTCCCCCAAAAATTTTCAAATTCCCTTTTGATCCCCCGATAATTCAAGAAATAAAAATTTCCCTTGTTTTTTTTTTCCAAATACACAAAATGTCACCGATAACACGTAGCAAAACAAGTCCAATTCGTTTTCTCCTTTCTGAGTTTCCTACATTTCTTGACCTTGAGTTAGCTTATTGTAAAGCACTTCCTCGTCTTCAACAAGACGCAGAACAAATTTTAGAAAAAAAGTTGGAAGAACATGAAGTCAAAGTACATTTTTATAAACCTAGCGCGTCGCCAGAATATTGGTTTGTTAATAATAGAGAAGCATTGGAAGAAGTTGTTTATTATAAAATGAAAATTAGGTTGTTTATGAGATATAAAAAGCAATTTATGGATAAAGAAATTGATTTTTCAAATTGCGTAGAATTAAAATTGCCACAAAAGAAAGTACTTCCTCATAAGGAATTATTTTCCTGCGGTACACTTCCAGTAATGAATATTTATAATTTTGGTAGACATTCAACAAAGGAAGGGTATGAAAAGGAATACAGTTTCTTTCATGAAGAAGAGGCAGCGTCATCTTCAACCGTCTTTTATCAATCACCACCAACACCACGTAATTTTAGTTTTCTTTCTCACTCGTTCAAATTTGAATCCAGTCAAACACTCCTTGGAGACTACACTGATACCGAAATCGATGATACAGCATCACCATCTTTAGATCATCATCATAATGGACGTGCGCAATTATTTAACAACATTTTACGTGTAATTAATTGTCATCAATTTCCTATCAATTGGTTATTTAATTTAAGACACGATAAAATTTATTTTTTATTGATGGTTTTAATTTCATTTTCGGTATATGGGTATATGTTGGGATTTAACTTTAATGAGGTTAAACAAGTACAACAACATAAAGTTTTGATAAAAGGAAGGTTAGATGGTACAGTTAGGGTACAAGTACAAGAATTCATTGAACAAGAAATGTTACGAGTTTCTTCAACATCATCAGCTAAAATTCGAAAAGGGTTAAGTAATGATGAGTATGTAGGGAAAGAAAATGATATAGGATTACTTGGATATGTTAGAACGCAATTACATGAGGTACTCCAAGAACAATTAGAGAAGATGATGGAAGGTACAAGCGCGGATTATGCTTTGTATACAGGTGGAGCAAGAATTTTAAACCAATTAACATCACGAAATTATGAGATTTGGCCAAGTAAATCTTATCAGCGCGTTTGGGGTAGATTAACACATCGAAACGTAATTACCAGCAAAAAACCAGAAGTCGTCTTATCACCCAATGTGAATGTTGGAGAATGTTGGTGTTTTAATGGCACGAACGGACAAATTGGTATAAAATTGTCAAGAAGTATTATAGTAACGCATCTTACTTATAGTCATATTGGAAAAGAAGTATCAATTGACCCTATTTCATCAGCTCCTTTTGAATTTGAATTGTGGGGTTTAAATGAAAAGCAAAGAGATTTTAAGGTGTTTTTGGGTAAGTATCAATATGATTTAAATGGTCGTCCCACACAAGTATTCAATGTACCTGATGAGATTGCAAAAAATAATAATAAGAGAGTGGATTCTATTGTTATGAAAATTCTTAGTAATCACGAAAATTCTCAATTTACTTGTTTGTATCGGCTTCAAGTTCATGGTGTTATGCCTAGATAATAATTTCAATTATTTTTATTTGTAAAAATATATATATAGAAAGATATATATATTTGTTTTCTTTATATTTATTATTAAAATAAAAATTATTTTTAAAATAAAAATAAATCAAATATCAAAATCTCGCGTGTGATCTCATCATTCGATTAATAAAATGCATGCAGTGTTACATATGGTAACAAATAATCATGTGTCTATCAGGTATAAAAGTGAATGTTGAATCAACTCGGATAAACTTTTAATGCTAAGATAGTGGTATAAAAAAAAAGGTTCGAAAATTGAAACATCCCTGTTCAGATTTGAAACAACAAAACCGTAAAGGAAAGCTAAAAAAAAAAAAAAAAAAATCCTAAACTTATAAATATGGTAATTAAACAAGACGTACTGGTATTTGGGGAAATTCGACATGCAAAAAAGTCTTTCGAAGAAATGAAAGAGAGATATGAGTTCAAGGTATACAGTACTTTATCGTTAATAAAATTAAAATTTTTGATTTTTGATTTTTACTAATAAAAATTTAATAGGAGTTTAATTCTACGAAAAACGATTTTTTGTTGGAAGCGACTACGAAATATGAAAAAGTAGTCGCAATATTATTAGCTCATGGAGCCGATCAGGTGATTTTAAATTAATTTTTAATTTTTCTTTGCAATAATATGATTTTAATAACTTTAACTTTATAGATTGTAGATAGGTTTGATACTGAAGTGTTGGATGCACTTTCACCAGATGTAAATGTGATATTGGTGATTGGAAATGCATCAGATTTAGTTGATGTTAAAGCTGCTACAGAGAATGGAGTATTTGTTGCCGATACAGTCTCCGAATTTCAATTGACCGAAGGTACAATTTTTTGAACATAAATATTTATTTAATAACTCACATATTTATATATAAAAAATAATAATATAAATAAACAAATAAATTTATTTATTTATTTATTTTTAAACATTGAATAGAGGAAATAGAACAAGCAGCACTTGATAATCTTGAATTCGCATTAATAACAGGAGTACCCAAAGATACGGTTAACAAGATTGAAGAAGTATCGGAAGTAGCGGCCGGTAAAGCCGTGGAATTGGTAGCAGCAAATGGTGAAATGAATGATTTAGATCTTTCCGATATTCAAATAAACATTTAAAAGTAATAAGATTATCATGATGATTCAAAATGTTTTTTATTCTATTTTAAAAAATTCTATAAAATTTTTTAATGACTTTTTATAATTATGATTATTATTATATTAAACTAATATCGCATTTTTATTCGAATACCAATCTTCTTCAATTACGATAGGATCAGTAGTACCTTCGCTAATTTTGGGAAATGGTGAAATAAACGATTTTAACGATCCGATAAAATTATCATTACGTGACATTGAAGTTATTTGTAAATCCAAATTCGAAATATCAGCATAATTGATATCACTTTTTTTATCATTATTAATATTCACTTGTCGAGTACTAGTTTTTCTTAAACGAGTAACTCCTTGAACTACGTTAATTGCCTTCTTTAAGGTAGCTCTTGCTGGGAAATTTGTTCGTACATTATTTAATAAATTAATATTATTTGCCATATGAAACCACGGATGTTTTAATGCATCATGAACTGTTATTCTTTTATCAGCGTCATATGTCATCATTTTATCAATTAAATCTTTAGCATAATCACTAATCTCTGACCAATATTCTTCTTCAAAATAATAAACACCTGATAAGATGCTATCAAATAACGCTGCTTGATCTTCACCACCGAATGGAGTATATCCACATAATAATGTATACATTATAACACCAATACTCCACATATCAACCGGTTTCCCATGTCCCGTTTGTCTTAAAACTTCAGGTGCCACATATCCTGGAGTCCCGCATGCTGTCATCAAAATATCATTATGTTTTTTTAATATTTTTGATAATCCAAAATCCGTAATCATTAAATTTGAATGATCGGACTTATCACTAAATAATAAATTTTCTGGTTTTAAGTCTCGATGAACGATTTCATGATCATGAAGGTAAGCTACCCCTTCAAGTATTTGTTTTACTAAATTGGATGCATCCTTTTCCGTGTATGAGCCTTTCTTAATAAGGTGATTAAACAATTCTCCTCCACTTGCTAAATCCGTAATTATGTAAACTGCCTTCTTGGTTTCAATCAAATCGTGGAGTTTCACAATGTGTGGATGATTTACTTTTTTGAGAACGTCCAACTCCGAGTTTAACATCTGCTCTTTTCCTTAATAATAATAATAAAAAAACAAGAAGGTTTAATTGATTTTGAATTTATTAACACATTAAAAAACATTTTTTTTTATTAAAAATTTACCTCGAATGGCTTTTTTGTTTATGATCTTTAAAGCATATTTAATTCCAGTACATTTATCTGTGCATTCTTTAACAACACCAAATGATCCTGTACCAAGAACATTTTTTGAAATTTTGTAGCGTTTTTCTAGTGACCATGGGTAAAGTGGTTCCTTTTTAATTTTTGATTCTGCGTTGATATGTTGAAAAATGTTTTTGATCTTGTGCATTGTGATTCTAAAATTAAATGATTTTATTAAGTTTTAAAGTATCAAAAATATTATTTTTTTTTTTTGAGGTTGATACGAAAAAAATCTATCCTTTTAATATATATATATATTTTTTGTTATTGCTAACCTTGTCTGATTTTTGATGTACCTTGGAACATTTTTATAAGTGAAGTATGGGACATGAGGCGGTGCCAGATCATCATTATGGTATATCATACAACCATACATAATTTGTTAAAAATTCTATTAATAACTAAAATAAAATCAAAATAGAAAAAACATTAACTAATGTTGTCGAAATGATTCAGTATCAAAAAAATTCGAGATATTTTTATAACAAAAAAAAATAAAAATCGGAAAAATTAACTTATAAAGAAGGTGGCAAATAAATAAATCGGAAACAATAAACCGATTTTTATCTAGAAAGGAACAATTCTTTTTTTATTGGGTCATTTCGATCGGATCGATCATCAATCACATTACTAGATCACATTACATAGAGATAAAAATAGTTGAATCATCAAAAAACAATCAAACTTTTTATTACAAAACAATGTCCGATTTATTGACATACCTGCCTAAACTCTTTTTTGAAAAATTGTAGTTTCGTCGTCTCTTTAATATTTTCATATGAATAAATATATTTTTTAATGTATTTTAATTCAAGGAATTCAAATCAAGTTAAATATAATTTCGGCAATTAAGTAAAGTAGTTTCGTCATTAATAAAAAACTAGTTTCGTCATTTCGGTTTCGTCAATTTCGTCATATTAAGAAAGGTAATTTCGTCAGGTATCACTAGACCTTGGTCAATTCACTAATTACGTATACTCTGCATATTCAAAATTATTGATTGCTAAATAGAAATAAATCGTAGTAACTAAGATCCAAGGAATACCAAGACTTCCACTCTCCTTGTATTTTTCGCATCAACATATAAATATATGGGAACGTTTCCAGTTATGAGGCATAGTAAATCATATGATCCGTAATGTGATTTTACTGGATATCATTGATTAAAAGAAACTGACATGTCACATGCGACTATCAATTAAAAAAGTCAAAATTTAATTTTAGCTAGGATTGTCAAAGTTTGTATCACAAACCCGGTAATGATGTTAAAATACATAAAAAAAAATTTTTGAAATCAATTCTGTTGTAAACACCAAAATGCATGTTGACAAAAAAACTCAAAAGTATGACCGCCAACTTCGGTAAGTTAATTTATAATAAAATAGCAACATAATTTTTGATATCAAAGTTATTAAACAGGATAATTCTTCATTATTCTCCATAATAATAGTTTATGGCATGCAAATGGTCAAACAGCTTTAGAAACAGCTAAAGTATGTCTCATTAATGGTACAGCTACAGGTTGCGAAATTCTAAAAGATTTGGTTTTACCTGGTAAGATTTTATAATTATAACTATTTTATGTATGAAAATAAAAGGTTGTTAATAATTATTGAAATTCGAAATTATCAAATTCAGGTATTGGGTCTTTTACTGTGGTCGACGGTAAAATTGTTGATGGCTCTGATGTTGGGAACACATTTTTCTTAGTTCCTGATAGTATAGGTAAAAGTAGAGCTGAAGTTGTTACAGAGTTTTTGCAAGAACTAAATGAAGATGTTAAGGGATTTCATTTACCTGAGGTATTAAATATATATATGTTGGATCAATCATTATATAGCACGTGATTTATATACTTAATCCTTTGATAGAATCCGATTGCTCTTATTGAGAACCAACCAGAGTATTTCTTGCAATTTTCTATCGTAATCACTACAAATATTCCCGAAAAACCTTTACTTAAGTTAGCGGATACCCTATGGAATGCAAAAATTCCTCTCGTTGTCGTACGAACCGTAGGATTCATAGGATATTTTCGTATTGCTTTACCAGAACATACGAGTAAGATTTAATCTGTATATATTTCATTTTTCATTAAGTTAATTTAGCTTTTTTATTTTATTTTATTTTTATTAGTTGTGGAGACGCACCCGGAAAATATTCTTGATCTTCGATTAGATGTTCCTTTTCTATCTCTTAAACAATATGTCAAAACTTATAATTTCGATACATTAGATAGTATGGATCACGGACATATTCCTTACGTAGTGATCCTTTTAAAATACCTTGAACAATGGAAACAAGACGTAAATACTTAGGAAATGTTCTTTTATTTATATTATGATGTATATATAGTAGTTGTATATTAATTAATGTTATGAAAACAAAGCATGACGGAAAATTACCTAGTACTTCTGCAGAAAGGAATGAATTCAAGCAACTAATCCAAAGTGGTAAACGCAATGCTGACGAAGAAAACTTTGACGAAGCTTTGTCAAGCGCATGGAAGGCTTGTACAGCTACTAAGGTACCTCGTCAAGTCGAAGAAATCTTTAAAGATTCATCATGCGAGAATATAACGGCCGAGGTATAATATTGAAATCAATTAATATTAAATTAATTATTATTATAATTGTTATTTAAATTTTTTTTTAGTCATCAAATTTCTGGATTATTGTTCGTGCTATCCGTGAGTTTGTATCAAATGAAGGTTTGCTTCCATTAGCCGGAAGTGTACCGGATATGAAGGCTTACACTTCCGGATATGTCGCAATGCAAAACATGTACGAAAATATTATTATTGTGATACTATTAATAACTCATATATATATATATATTATAATTGCTGAGTTATTTTTGTTATAATTTGCCTAGCTATCGTCAAAAAGCCAAAGAAGACATATCTATTGTTCGTGTTCATGTCCATGATATCTTAACTTCTATTGGACGATCAATTGATTCCATTTCCGATGACGAAATAGATAGTTGTTGCAAACATGCATCTTTTATTCAAGTCCTTCGATATAGATCGTTACAAGAAGAATACATAACTGATCCAAAGAAATCTGATATTGGTAATGAATTTAATATATGTATACTACTATTTCTTTTGATAATTAATAATTAATTATTTTAAAATGAATAATAGGTCGATGGTTACGAGATTCTCAAGAAAGTATCGTTAACTACGTTCTTATTAGAGCAATGGACAGATTTTATGAGTCTCATAATCGTTATCCTGGTAAAGTTCATTAAGAATTTTCATTTGTAATCATTAATATCACACATTTAATATTCAATGAATTTTTAGACGCCGCGACATTTTTCCTTGAAGATGATGCGGAGGAAGCAAGTGAAGAGGCAAGGTCAGAATTTAGTACTTTAAAAACTTATGTCAATATTTTATTAGGTGAATGGGATATTACAAATTATCCAGAACATTTAGATAATTATATTCATGAAATGTGGGTAGATATAAACTTATTTTTAATGACTCCAATGATCACTTGAATATCAATTAAAATTACTCTTTGTATTTGTTAGTTGTCGAGCTGGTGGTTCAGAATTAGCAAACATTGCTTCTTTACTTGGGGGTATGGTATCACAAGAAGTTATCAAACTCATCACCAGACAATATATTCCTATCAATAATACAATAGTTTTTGATGGTGTAAAGTCAACTTCTTCTTCATATATATTGTAGGATTGATATAATGAATCTCGAATTATGAGAAACATTAATTTTCTTGTAATAATTATGTTTGACATTTTGTTCGTTTTATATTTTATTTTATTTTATTTTGTATAAATCGGTTAAGTGATATTTCTAACATATCTTCTTTAGTATAGTTATCATTAGAAATAGATGAAGATTGATCATGTTTATTTATATTAAGTTGTAATCATCAAACCGCAAGTTAAAAACCGCAAGTCTATTTAGATCACAAACCTTAATATGATAAATTTCTTTTATTATAAAATTTGTAATAAAAGTCTCGAACTTAAAGAAATTGCATGTGATTCGGATTTTTTTGGGAAAATTATTATTTATACACTATAATCAATCCACTTAGATCAATTAAATTCTTTTAATAACAGATTTAACTTGTATTTAAGATCGATGACGTTTAGTTTGATGACTTTCCAAAGCATCATCATTATCCTATATAGATGAAATTGATTTGATTAATAAGAAATTGTATTATTTTTTTTATTATTTTTAATATTCTTGATGATTTATTTTTACTTACTTCTTCATCTTCACCCTCTACAACTTCTCGTCTTGTAGGCTATTTTATGAAACAAATTATGGATTGACTAATTGAAACGTTAAATGAAAAAAAAAAATTCAAAATTAAAATACCTTATTCGGCTTTGAATTTTTATCATTATCAACATCTAATTCGTCCATTAGATCCGTTTTAATTTTAAAATCTCGATTTGTAGCCCGTTTAATAAATTGTGTCAGATCGATCTATATGTTCATAGAAATCATGTTAGTTTTCTTTCTTACATAAATGCTTTAAAAATGACAAAATTCTTACCTTAGACTTTTTTGTTAACTGAATTAGAAAACGTTCATATTGCTCTAATAGAAAAATCAAATGAGGAATTATCTTGGATTCTCTGGCAATTCGCGCCTATAAATCCATTTGATTAATGATTAAGTATAAATGCTTTTACTTCATCTGATCTCTAATCTTACCTTTTGAATAGTAAGATTACTTTTAAGCTTACGCTTTTTACCAACAATTAACCTATTGGTTTCTGGTTTTGAACCAAATGCTAATAGCAAATTGTACAAATTCTCAGTCAACTGTAAGCCGGTTAATTCGATTACATCTATGAAATGCTTAAGAATCTCGCCTCCCTCAGCAATTTTCTAAGAGTGAAACGAATAAAGTTATAAATACGTAAAAATTGTGCTGGATAATCATTAAACACCTACGTATTTAATCAATGCTATCATGACTTTATAAGTCTTTTGAAGACATTTAATCAATTGTTCAGAAGAAGAGTCTTGAAGTGACGTTTGCTCCAAATATATTGTGGCATTTATTAATGTCATTAATCTTACGCATATCGATTGTTCAACATCAAGCATTTCATTATTAAGATCCGTATCTGCAAATTAGGTAATAATTTATGATAAATACAAATAAAAAACAAAACAAACAAAATAAAATAAAAAATTACCTTTTGTACTACACATTAACTTCATCCTATTCAAAAACCATTCTATTTCTTCGTACATACTTTCTATAAATCCGATCAAGACGCTACATATTATACCACTGGTTCTTGGATTGACGATAACGAACTTAGGATTCATTTCAATTCCGTCTGTAGCGCCATTGATATCACCTAATACAACCAATATATCATGCGCGATTTCTGCGATTGTTCCAAAATCCGACATATCTTTCTCTAATTTTATTAATAGGGTTATTATATTTTTGGCGAGGATAGTATCTTCAATGACACGTTCTTTACATAATGATTTAAGCCAAGTGACCAATTGTTCTGAATATTCATGTGGATTAGAATTATCGATTGGGCGAGTAAAATGAGATGCTAATAAACTTATGGTTTGAAATAATACTAATGCTTCCTTTATATGAGGAATCCTTTCATTAAGAGATGCGATAATTAAGTGCTATATATGTAAATAAAGTATTAGATAGTAAAATATAAAGGAAATAAGAATTAAAGTTTTGATATATATTCCATTAAAAATAATAATCAAATCTTTTGGTATATATATAAAAAATCGCACCTCAAATTCTCGAATGTATAAGTTTAACCATCCATTTAAATCTTTAGGGATTAATTCATCCGTCAATTCAGATGGGTAAGAAAGAGCTAAGAAATCAATTAGCTTGTCTGGCCAATAAGACGAAACTGCTTGAACCAAAAGCGCAAAACTTTCGATTGCAATTTCAAAAATGGACTTTCCCCAAGAAAATTATATATTAGAAATCAATTTTACATTCAAGTATAGATTAAATAAATTTATTACCTTGTCCTTCTTATTACCATCTTCTTGACGAGTAGCGATACTTGCTTTATTATTTTTAATAAATTCATTCATGAACACTTGAGTTAATGATGTACAATAGCCAAGTGTTTCGTCATCTTCAGGATTAAAATTTGATGTAATCTAAGTGAAAAAAATATATAAATATATATAAATAACCCCAGGACTAAACATATTCTTAAGTTCTTAATTAAACATTCAATTATACCTGTGATATTTTATTATATGCTACTGCAGTAATATATTTTACAAATCCTGCATCGGCTCTCAAAGCGGTATTTACAACATAAAGTTCTGGATCATTAATATCTTGGAAAGTGAACTTACAAAGTTCAGTAATACATTTGAAACTTAAAATCGAATTTTCTGTTATGGATGTTACTATCTTACGACCTGTAATATCATTTTAAACAATATAAATATATACATATATAGAATAAATAGATCTGATAAGCAAGCATGATCTGACAATAAATATATCATAATCTAACCTCGAGCATTAACCGACTTTTCTTTTAGAACTTCAAAAAGTGCAGTATATCTTTTAAATAACCTTAAAATAATCTCTGATAATTCTATAGTGGGTTCAGAAGCCAAGAATGAGTGTTCGATTGCTGCCTTTTATTATAAATAATGTTATTAATCCTATTATATAAATTTATATATATTAAATCGGTCAATTAAAACCGTTTCACATTACCTCATACATTCCAAGTAGAATAGATGCGCACATATTATTACGACAACCCTCATTAGAATTCATTTTGAAATCGGCGTTTGGGTGAATCAAGAATTCAGACATGTCTGAATGTATTAGCTGGTCAACTAAAGTTTGAAAGTTCATTTTACATTCTTCAAGCTGAATTTTATTGAATTGAGAATCTTCTAAATTGATAAACGTGTATTTTAATTGAGTTTGTCGAGACTTTGAGTAATTACGTAACTTAAATGCCCAACCTTCATTACCATCATTAATCATCTTAAAAGCTGTAAATGATTTGCTTAAGCAAATCAATAAATAAGGTAAAGGTTCAACAATATGTGGTTCACCATTTAAAGTTTCTATACAACTTTCAATGTGAACTGTCGCATATAGAGATGACCCCTGTTCAAAAAATTGTTGGAACTAAAAATAAAACCCAAGTTAAAACTATATCACAACACTTCCAAATAAAAATTTAATAACAAACCCTCGTACATGTGGATAGAGAATGTCAAAAATTATTGGGTTGAGATGTTGATGAACATCCATCAATTCTAGTAAACCTTCATATAAAGATAGTCTAAGTTGTGGCTGTTGACTGAAACACTTGCGTAGATTACCTAAAATCATAATAATATTTATATATTATCTAAAAAAATACATGATATATCTAATATTCTTACCTAAAATTTCAAATGAGAGAGAATTTTGATTATCAAATAAATCATTAGAATTACTCATTCGCATTTGAGGTATTACACATAATCTTCGATTATTTGCCGCTGGCATTTTTAACAGTCTCAAATATCCGGACAATGCGATCTGGCGCCCTTCCAATTCCCTTTTATATTAAATTACGAAATCATGAGATTTATAGAAGGGAATAGTTAAATGATAACCAATTCGTACTTTGTGAATAAACCCTTTCGCAGTATCACCATTAGCCCATCACGTAGAGAATGATTCTCATAAAATAATGGTTGTAATGCCTTCAATAGACTATCAGCCGTTGTAATAGATAAAAATGATAAATAATCGAGTGTTCCTTTAATCTATAAATTACCACAGTTAAACTTTTTTGAAAAATTAAATATTTCTAAAAGCAAATAATTACATACATACTCTGGATATATAATTATAAAGATAATGTGGGGTTTCTTTTACAATTAATTCCAACAAATTCAGAAAGTATTCAACACTTAATGATTTTGAAATAACTCGAGACTGAAGCTGATCTAATATTTCTGCGCGGACCATATCATGGATCTAGATAAATCGTTGAATTGTATTCAGAATTAAATCATAAAAAATTTGAAATTAATACCGGGATACAGTTCTTAATAATGTGACATACAAAGGCTCCTGGTGTAAATCACATTTTTCTATATTAATTAGTGCACATAATTATGTAATTACCTTGAACATCTCTAATAATATTGTTGTTCCTAGCTTAGTCATTTCATTAGGTGCGATAGTTCCTTTTTTTGTCCTATTTGTATCTTTTAAAAACAATATAATCATTATGATATACAATTTTCATAAATCAAAATTCATAATCTACTTGTATTCTCACCAGAAACCTTTCCAAATTGTGCAGAAGGAACGGCTAAATCAATCAAAATTATTCCTAATTGTACTAAACTTTGAGTGACTTGATCCCATCCAAAGGAAGTCTTTTGCATTATATTTTGGAAAAGCTCAAATAATGATACCGAAGAAATTATTTTTGAAAAATTGCCACCTGGTAATATTGTAAGTTATGTTAATGGATACCAAATGAATGAAAAAACTAATTATGACTTCATGCATACTAGATATCCATTTTGCTTTTCCCATCTTTTCCTTATCCTTAAAAGTAACCAATATTGATGTCTTGAGTAAATCGAGAGCCTTTGTAAAAAATTAATAAAACGTTAGATAAATTCAATAATTAATGATTTTTATAAACAACTTATTATACCTGATCTTCGAATCGATGTATCCTTGCGATTGACAATAAACAAGCGATACTAAACGGTTTCAAAAAAGAAGTCTTATCCGACTTCATATATTTGATAAATTCACTTCCTAATTCCTGTTAAATATAAAATAAAACTCGTTTAATAATAGAAAAAGTTATTGAACAATAATAGATTATAAGTTAGTATGACCTGATCTTGGGTAATTGCGAAACATATATGAATAATTGCTGTGCCTTCCATATGACTCAATTGCGAAAACGATAACGAGGCGACGGAGTCGTTTTCTCTAGAAATTTGTTAAATTTTAATAGACATTATAATTATTGTGAATTAGCTTTACTAACCTTTTTTCATCAAGTATTTCATCATCCAATCTATTAAAAAAATCTGCAATTCCTTGCAAGATCAAACGCTTATGTCCCTAAAGGTTATTTTCTATCAGTCAGTGAAATAATTAAATTTTGTTTAAATATGATCAAAATTCACTAACCTTTCTAGAGAGCAAGAGAATCTGATAAACAAGTGGGGGAACTTCATTAATATCAATTACATCAAAATGACTAAATCAATTAAAGATGTTAATTCATTACATTACATAAAAATAAAAAAAGTAAAGAATGAAATTTTAATTTTTCACCTCATAATTTTTTCTGCGACAAAACGCAACTTTTAAAGAAAAAAAAATTTAATCAATAAGCGATATTCCTTTATATATATCAAAATAAGAATAGATCCCAATATGCATCCAATTTAATACCTGTTCATTAGACATTGGAATATCACGAAATTCTCCAGCTAAACTTAACACATTACTTGTATGCCATTTTGTGTTGCATAATTTATTTAAAATATCATCTTTATAATCTTGACCTGTCATAGAGTAGCCAGTTGAATTTTTGCCAGATACTACTTCATTGCAAGAATCAAAAGCAGATAACATTATCGGTAAAAATGAAAATAATTTTCCATGCAAGGGAATTCCGCGTTTGATAGCCTGTATAATACTTGTAGAGATATCTACAAACATTTCAATCATTACAGGAGAATCAGTAGTACCAATAGAGATCTTTCATAATAATTCATTAAACGGCAAATATAACAATTAATATAGTTCAAATGCAAAGAAATAATCGATCGATATATGTATCTTAAAGGTTTACCTCGTTAATACATATCCCCACTAAATCTGAAACTATTTTATCAAAATGTGAGGTAGTATCATTTCCTTTTTCGCATAACCTTTAATAGAAAGCTTTGTTTTCATTATATTAAGGATAAGAAGATAAGAAATCTTATATTGCTTCTACATACCATCTAAGAATTTCTTGTATAATTGTGCAACGTCTTCCGTTTCTCAATTCTCTATCCTCAAGAGCTTTTTTCTCTCCATTTAAATCATCTGTTACTGAGGCTAATAATACCGTTTAATTGTTTTATTAATATAAGAATTGATCAACTATCAAGATATGAAAGTATCTTTTTACATTACCTTTAAAAAGTGTACAAATTATTGCAAAACATCCTGTACTATTCTCATTATAAAATTTTGAATCATCTTTCAATAGATTGATAATCAAATTTTTTATCTAAACCATTTTTATTATCGATAGTTGTAAACTAATTGATAAATATATATATATATAAAAAAGGAGTTATAGAATGTTACGCATACTTCTTTTAAGTCAACAGTATCAAGAAATAGTCCAGTCTCTTTTATTTCTTTTCTAGCAATGTATTCAATGATTTTTTCTTCCATATTATTTAAAGGGTTGGAAACAAAAGTATGAAAAAAAAATAAAAATATATCGAATGGAAAACCGCGTTACGTCAAACGTTAACGATCCGATCCATCCGATCTCGATCCGGTCTTGGGATCGAAGATCTTCTCCAAAAGTGATCATTTAGAAATCATCATCATTATTAACCGAGAAAGTTTTACAATTAATTTATTGTCTTTCCTTAAATCATCAGATACTCTTGCTGTTTCTGTTCTCCACAAGACATCCATATTTGATCTGTTAAATCAATAAATTTTTTTTAAATTCAAGGATTGTTAAAATGTTGCTTGTAATTAATTCTGCTGAATGTGATTCTTAATTTTCGGTTTTAACATTATTTTGCAGATCTCAAGACTTTTTCAAAAACTCCCAGCATCTGAACATGCTTTGAACTTTGAAGTTGTTGTAAATTCTGTTGCTAAAGAATCGGAAAAAAGTTCGGTTCATTATCATTAGAAGGAGAATTTAATTTATATGACGTTGTTATACTACGTTATGTAATGTTGCTGACATGAATTGTTATCCCTTGAGTGTTAGGTGAAAAATTATGTTTTTTAATGCATTCTATCGATTTCTTTAAAATTTACTTTATATCGGGAAATTAGAAACCGATACATTACGGGCGAACCCTATGTTACCCGATTTCGTGGTTTTGGAAAGTTGTTATCGCGATTATTGTAGAGTTCTGTATATTTTGATTGCAATATTATGCCAAAAAAGGAAGATTGGCTAAAAATAATCGATGGTATGATATGTAGAAATTTTATATAAGTCTGATTTCAGGATCGATCTGGTCCAATCTGTCTCCCTGAAATTATTAACATCCATTTTTATTCATAAAAAATTAAAATGTCTAGGAACGCTTAAACACTCGCTTAAACTAGAATAACATTTAACAATTTAATTTCCAGAGGTAAGCGAAGTCCTATACAATCGCTACCAAAGAGAATTAGGCTGAGCATTCTTAATACTTAGAGTACAAGACTGAATAATTTAGATGTTAATTATTTTTATACTGTATTGAAGTTATAAGTATTTTTAATCAATGACTTAGGTAAAGATGATGCTGAAGATAGTAAAGATAAAGATAGTAGAGATAGCATCACAAAAATGTTGAGTGATACGAAAAGGTGTGGAGTACTTATCACCTTCACCAGACTTCACACCTTTTCGTATTACCTAAAAATGTTAGAGATCAACCAAAATTTGGAAATGAATTTGAAAATTAAAGAATTGTTAGCATGATTGAAGACTAGTTCAAGATAATACAAAGTTAAAAATGCAGATAAAGATATCATAAAAGTAATAATATTTAGATGATATTTTAATTTATTTAAATTATCATTAAAAATGTTTTAAAGTATTGGTTTTATATGAATTTCATGAAATTATAGAAAATTACTTATTTTGAAACATATTGATTATTTTAAAAGTGTAAATAAATAATATTGGATTTTTCAATATGAAGTCAAAATAAAATAAGTTGTAATCTTAGAATAATTTACTTAATCATTTATTTATTTAAATAGTTATATAATAAACTTTAAAATCTTTAGAATATATTATCAAGTTTTATTTGCTATATTTGAATAATTAAATTTAATTAATAATAATTACAAATTTGATTTTTACTGAAATTTAACAATGCTTTAACAATTATACATTTATATATAGAAAAAATTTAATATAATTACCAAAAAAATTCTAAAATATATCTTGTATTTGTAATTAGTATTTGCAAATAATTTAGCAAATAAAAATATTTAAAATAAAATTTTTTAAATATTTTGTAATTTTCTTATTTATTTATTTTTGAAAACATATTCATGTTGAAAATATAGATAAATGTCAAATTTTTGTATTCAAAAGTAAAGGCTTTTAATTGATATTATTGATATTCTTCAAAAAATCAAAAATAAAATTTCTGATTAATTGATATTATAATTTTGTATCTTTTAAATCATAGGATTTTGCAAGCAAATTTGCCTGCTTATTTACTATAAATTCTCTTCTAATTTACTTTTTTAAAATTAATTTTATAAATATATAATATATTATAACAAGTTTATCTTTTAATTATATAATAAAAAATTTAATATTACTTATAATAAGCTAAAAATTTGTAATTTTTAAAAAAAATTTATATTAAAAAATTTTATAATTAATTTATAATAAACTTTTTAGAATCAACTTTTAATTATATTAATCATAATAGAATATTATAAATATTATAAAATTACTTATAAAGAAAAACTTTTATTATTATAATTTTTTATAATTTATTAAGAAATTTTCTGTCTTTAATTAATAATAAAATAATTCAATTAATAAGTTAACATATAAATTTTAAAAAATTATTATAATAAAAATTTTGAAAATTAACTTTAAAATTAAATTATTTTAAAAACCGTTTTAAAAAACTTAAAATTTTTGTTAATAAAGTTAATAAAATATATATTTTTTATATAATAATGATATTAATATTTAACATTTTATAAAGAAATTACCACTTTTTATTAATTTTACAAGCAAATTTGCCTACTCTACAGTTTAAAAGATAATGTATGTATTATATTTTTTACACTATTGAGATAATTTTAATAATTTTATATTTTTCATATGACCTTAAATTGAATTTATCATTTAAGAAAAATTAATATAAATTTGATTATTACTATCTTTTTTTAATAAAATAGTCTTAATATTAGAAAGATTATTAAAAGTTTCTAATTATCAAATTTATTTTATTTAGAAAATTAAAAATTATATTATAAATTTTATAATTATATAGTAAATATAATCAAAAATCTATTTTAGAAGCTTATATAAACCCATTAATTTATTAAAAAGAAATAAGATATAAAATATTATATTAAAGCTTATAAATAAGTATACTAAGTATTTATTAAATTAGATCAGAAAAATAAGAAATAAATTTACATCTTATTGAAATATTTATTAAAACTGATATTCTACTTAAAAAGTTTATAAACTCAACTCTTTTTTTAAAAAAATATTATAATAATATTAAGATTTTTATATATATTTGTTTATTTTTTTTTATCTTAAATATTTATTATAAATATCAATAATTAAAAATTAAAAGGTAATTATTATTATTAATGCAAATTATTACATAAAAGATATCTACCAACTATTTTAAATTAGTAAACAATATATTAATAAATGAATTAGCTGATCAAAAAATTTTATAACTATGAATAAAATAACTAATAATTGTGAAAAAAATATGCTTAATATATTATTTAGTTATCATAATAATATTTAATTAGTAAATACTATTTTTTATAAGTTATAAATAATATAACAATTATATAAGCTTTGTTAATACTATTCATTCCTATCCCTTAGATTGTAGAGTTTCACAGGCAAATTTGTCTGCATATTTACTATAAATTCTCTTCTGATTTACTTTTATAAATAATTAATATTTTAAAAAATTTTTTTTTTAAATTAATTATATAAATATATAATATATTATAATAAGTTTTATCTTTTAATTATATAATAAAAAATGTAATGTTACTTAGAAGCTAAAAATTTGTAATTTTTAAAAAAAATTTATTTTAAAAAATTTCATGATTAATCTATAATAAACTTTTTAGAATTTACTTTTAACTATATTAATCATAATAGAATATTATAAAATTACTTATAAAGAACAACTTTTATTATTATAGTAACAAATCAGGGTCAATTAATATTTAGTTATCAATCGGTTTAATATCCAATTGATGATTATTATTCAATTAGAATTTACCGATTGGTAACAATTCACTAACAAGTCTCATTAACAAGATTTGTTAACAATCTGTAATGAAATTGTATTAAGAAATTTTATGACTTTAATAAATGATAAAATGATTCAATTAGTATGTAAACATATAAATTATTATAAATTTTTTGAAACTTAATTTTATAATTAATTTATTTTAAAAACCTTTTAAAAAACTTAAAATCTTTGTTAATAAGTTGATAAAATATATATTAAATTATATTTTTCATATAGTAATAATATTACTAAAATTAATATTTAATATTTTATAATGAAATTAACAATTTTTTTTAATTTTACAGGCAAATTTGCCTGCTAGACAATCTAAGAGATAATATTTCTTTATCAATTTAATATTTTTTATTAATGATAATATATCATATATAAAGAAAATATTTATTTTCTTTAATATCAAACTTATTTATAACACATGTTTTGCTCATATTTGTAATTTTATTAGTAAAACTTAAATGAATTTTAAATATTTTAAACTATTAGATATTATAATAAAACATATTAAAATTTTATTTGTATACTTAGCAGTATGAAAAAGAAGATAAAGAGAATATTTAATTTTAAAATTTATTTATTTAAATACAAATTAAATTTTATTTAATAAAAAAATATTTAAGATTTATCTGTTAATTTACCTTTTTTACCTATAAAGACTAGAAAGAATTCTTGAATTACATTTATAACTTGAATAGAGAAATATTATCAACATTTTATTATATTTTTATTGAAAAATCTGTAAAAAAAAATTCTAATACTATTAAAGAAGTAAAAGAGATTTCTCAGAATCAAAGTCAAATTTTTTATATTTTATTTAATACATAAAGATAAATATTAAATATTTTTAATTATTTATGTTTATTAAATATTAAAATTAAAGTTTTCAATTTTTTAGATTGATGCTAAATCTTGAATTTTTTAAAATAAGAAATCAGGTTTTTGCACTTTAAGAATTATACAAATAAGAGCCTTTTTATAAAATAAAACAAATAACCTACCATTTAGTGTAGAATGATACAATTATTATCATCTTACAGTCATCAAAATTATAATGTTTTAATCTCAATCATTTCAAAATAAACATATTTTAGCTAGTTACAATTTAATTATAAGGTTTATTAGAGAAGGGGGAAAGTAGCATTGATGTTGAACGTAATTTTTCCAATTTTAGATGGTAGATTTTTTTTATTTTTGTATTGGGCTCTAATCGGATCTTTGAATTAGTCCAATTGTATTTGTATTGTTACACGAATTTGTTTTTAATTAACAGACAAAATGCATTCCTCAACCAAAGGACAAGCAAAATCTAGCCAACAAGTAATTTCTCTGGTTAAAATCAACAAATATTTCAAATATTAAGCTGAAAACTACCGAAAATTACTGACTATTATGTTTATAGAAAGAAGTTTCAAAAGAATGGAAACTCGAACCCGAGCACGAGTTTCGGTTTGAAATAGATTTTGGCACTACGGTGAAATTAAAAGTGAGCCAAACTTTTTTTTTATATAACTGGTTAGGAAAATATTTTCATACAACTTCATTTAATGAAAAATTAGCTAATTTCTGGTACGGCAGAAATATTTGGTACAGAAATTGGAATTGGACACGAATATGAATTTTCAGGTCGTAAAGTTGCAATATTTACTTGGCATGGTTGTATAATAGAGATATCCTATATTATTTACTTGTATAAATTATATGGAATAAATAATTATTACCCTTGACTTAATTATTTAATACATTGAAGGAATATGTAGTGTAGAATATGTTGCTAATGAAACTCCAATGACAAGTTATCTTAATATGCATATCGCACTCGAACAATGTAGAGAAGAGGCCAAGTCTAAGAGTGAAAAGGGACCACGGGTGAGCAATGATAATATGGGAGGTTTGCTATTAAAATCATGTTCGGATCATATGATTTACTATGTCTCGTAATTTGATTTTAATAGCAACAACCCATATTTCGACCTTTATCCTTTGTTATATATCGAACCTTTGTTAATTTAATGACATTCAAGGTTATGATTGTAGGTCCTGAAGATGTAGGGAAAACATCATTATGCAAATTATTGCTTAGTTATGCGCTGCGTCACGGTAGACAGCCGATATTTGTTAATCTTGATAGCAACGAGGTAAGTCAATCATAAGTAATCTCCATAGAGTATCAATGGTTTAAATATACTCGTTTTTTTTCTAGGGTTCAATTACAATGCCGGGGACTTTGACTGCGACACCAGTCAATCACATCATTGATGTAGAAGAAGGTTTTGGTTCATCGGCAACAACCGCACCATCATTTAGCTCTTCATATATGCCGATGGTTTTTTATTATGGATATTCGGACCCTAGCGATAATGTAAAATTATATAAAGTATTGACAAAAAAATTGGCCTCCAACGTTTACCGACGCTTGGTTGAGGATGAAATTGGTAAATGATATTTTTCATTTGGAATATGTATGTTTAATTTATTTTAACTCTCTGTTTTCTGTAGCTAAAGCTTCAGGAATCGTTATTGACACTAGTGGACTCATTGACAGCACCGGTTATGAGATCATTCAACATTGTGTGGATGTATTTGACGGTAATTTTTTGACAACTATGATTTGTATTATGTCATTATTCTGAGGGTTATTTCTAACACTTACATTTGTAAAGTAAACATCATAATTGTACTTGGTCATGAACGGTTGTATAGTGATATGGCTAGATTATATAAGGAGCGCTCTGGTGTTAATGTAGTTAAATTATCAAAATCCGGAGGGGTTAGTAATAAAAAAGAAAAAAAGATTTTGAAATAGATTTTAATGTTTTTGTTAAGGGATTTCTCGGGTTATTAAATCTCAACTCGTGATATCATTCTGGTATTTTTCTTAATATATATAGCCGGGAAATTAATCTCTTTTTTTTTTTGAATTTTCAGGTAGTTGACAGAGATAACGCGTTTCGAAGGCAAATGCAGATGCGCAAAATTCGAGAATATTTTTATGGTTTGCCAAAATTTGAATTATCTCCCTGTTCAACTTTAATTAATTTAAATGATGTTTCCATATATCGCGTTGGAGTTGGCAAGTATTTTTTTTAAAAAAAAGAATTTTTTTTTTTAACTTTCACTTGTATTTTAATATTTAAACTTTTATTTTAATATATTTTAACCAGGATCCTTGGCTCCTTCATCTGCACTTCCGATTGGAATTGACAGAAAAGTTAGTGAAACTCAATTAGTGAAAGTTGAACCAGATGATGACACGTTATTACATTCTATTCTGGCAATTAGCTCTGCTAATAATTCAGAAGAACATTCTTTACTTGAATCATCAATTATCGGGTTTATTTACGTGTAATTAAAAGTATATCTTTTTATATTTGTTTATCTCTATATTCATTTTGTATTGATCCAATTTATAATATTTATCTAGTTCTAATGTTGATACTGGGAAGCAAAAGATGACTATATTATCTCCATCACCAGGTCGACTTCCAAAGCAATATTTGATAATGGGATCATACAAATGGATGGAAAGTTAAAAGGACATGATAAATTAATAAAACGTTGAAATATATTAGAATTTTACTAAGATTACTACCGTTTCAACGACGATCATGTAACATTAATCTTCAACAAAGTAGGATCTTTCATTAAATAAACCTTTTGAAGAATCGTATGAAACGTACTGTATATGAACCATTTACATATTATCATATTTTCATGGATATTTGCAATTAATTAAAATTTTAAAACTTCGTTGTTTATGTTTTGAAAAACGCATAAAATTTCTCGACTTTTTTTTTGATCCCAAAAATGTATTATTAACTGAAAGCCATTCGTATAAAAATAAATCACTTTTATTTATAAACAACTGTTTTCATTGTTACTTTTTTGAACTATTATTAACTTTTGAAAGTTAAAAAATATTAATTAGAAAAAATATTAAGACTAATATTAATTATTAAATCAATTAATATTTTTTTTTCTCATATTGTATATAAGTTTAAAATCACTTAAATAAATAAAATAATTAGTAAAATAAAAATTGTCTTTAATAATATAATAAAAGAAAGATTAAATTATTGAATATTTAAAATTTTAGTAAAATCTTATATAATATTTATATATAAAATTTATTAATATATACATATAGTTAATATAATATGATATAATAGAAATATCATATATAGACACATTTTATAGTAAAAAGGAAAAAAAAATTAAAATTACTTTATAAGTAACTGTAAATATGATTTTTAGTATTACAACATATGTTACAATTAGTTTTGATTTATATATGTTACAATTTATAATGTTGCAACATATGTTGCAACTAATTTTAGCTTAAGTTGTAACATGTTATAAATTTGAAATTAATTGCTACACCATTTTTAGTTTAGATTTAACATTAGTATTTTTAGAATTTCTTTTTTTTACTGCAAAATGTTTATATAATTGTTAATTATAATGTGTTTTTTATATCATAAATTATAAAATTATATTAAAATTTCTATATCTTTTTGTTTTTCATTTATATAAATGGTTTCTTTAAATATAATGATAACCAAAATAAATAATAAATAAATCAAAAAAAATAAAATTATTTATAATAAACAATATATCATATTCAGAGTTGAGAATTTTATATGTATTAGATAAATTAATATTATGCTTATACTGTATTTTATATTAATTATTATGATATACTAACTGTATTAACTATATTAATCATTATACTAACATTGTATTTTCTAATCCTAATCATATTATTTTAAAATTAAACAATCCTAAAAATAAACAACCACAAAATTAATATATATTTAAAAATAAATATATATCACTGGTAGTTATAATTAGTTATAAATATTAAATATCACATGGGAAATAATTAGTTTATTCATTATAGATAGTTATGATTTATCACTTTTACTATGTAAATTTAGTATATAAACACCTTGAATATCTTCAAGTACCAAATGTTCAATTTTCCTAAGAATAAAAAAAAAAAATTTTAATAAATAAACTTTTAACATAAATAAAAATGAATACTTTTGTTTGAAATAATTAATTGTTGAATAATTAAATTATGAAAATAAATAAAGTTATCTCGCTTATATATAAACATTAAATTTTAGAAAAATGTTAATAAAATAATGCAGGAATAAAACTCAGAAGAAATAATAAAAATATGACAGAAAGTTGAAAAAAGTTAAAGAATATTTAAATGCATATAAAAAGTAATGAAGGAAAATAAATAGAGGTATTAAATGAAATATTAAGGAAAATAAAAAGAAATAATAATCAGAAGAAATATTCAGAAGTAATATTTGGAAGAAATATTCAGAAAACACATTTGAAAATAATATTTAGAAGAAGCATTCAGAAGAACCATTCAAAAGAAATATTAGGAAGAGATAAAGATATATATTAGTTAGAATTAGTAATAAAAAGAATACAAAGAGAGAATAAACAACTTAAGAAAATAATTATAGAATAGAATAGTTGATGCCTAGTACTCGAATAGTATTCTGAATATTCATAGTGAAAGTATTGTATACATTTGCTGATGGTTCATTGATGCTGATGCTACTGAAACTATGCAAGATTTGAAAAGCTTAAACTAACATTAAAAATAATAAGGATAAAAGAAAAGAAGTATAATAATTAAAGAAATATAAAGAATAATTAGACTGAAGAATAAACGATAATAATATTGAAAAGAAATTATTAAAGGAAAATAACATTCACGTGAAGAAAAGGATTCTTAACAATTAAAAATTAATTTGTAAAACAAATCCTCTTAATGACGAATTGCAGAAATGATCAAGAAGGTACAAGCTATATTGAAGCTTATCGAACTTAAAAATGCTATACATTTGTAAAACAAAAGTTATGGCAACCACAACGTTATTGAGAAAGAAAATATCAATATTGTCAAAATTCATCTGAATATATTACTAAACCAAAGTATATTTAGATATCTTTACCTAATTCTATTTAACCAAAATCTTCTGAATCACAAGTAATAATACCAAACTTCAAAATACAAACCTATGAAAACCTGGGCTTCTAAAACTTCTAGTCAAAAGGAAAAGGAAGATCCTGAAGCTAGACCCAGTCTTTTAACTTAAGCTAATAGACAAGAATATGAAATACAAAAGAAATATGCTAAGAAAAAACATTTCTGATCAATTTATAAGAAAGCAGAAGGAATTTACAAAGAAGAGGAACCACCTAATAATGATATAGTATTTTTGGAAAAGAGTGCAATCCTACAAATCAACATAACTCTTTTAATTGTATGACTGTATGGGAAGGGATTATTTCTTTATGTAAAAATCCAGCATATGTATTCAATAAAGAGCAAAAGAATATGCAGATGCATCATATATGCCTACCTTATGGTATCAACACATGATGCAATTACAAATATTCTCAAAGAAAAGCTTTATAGAAGAGATCAAATAAAATCAGCATTAGTTGTATATGCTACATATATATCTTATAAATATAATGGATCAGGTGATCCTTCAGATTGGCAAACTATACTGCCAAATATCATCATTTATCACAGGTCGAACGCTGATAAATCGGGTACCTTCCCGATTGGTCACTATTTTTTGATTAGCAATCAATAGATAGAAAT